GCAATGGAAGGTCTTACTCGATAATGAATTTATAGAGGCTTATGAGCATGGAATTGTGATCCTTTGCTGTGACAGTGTCAAACGCAGGTTTTACCCGCGAATATTCACTTACTCCACAGACTATCCTGAAAAGTGAGTTGTGAACATTAGCCATATGGATTTGAAGTTCACCAATTCAGGGTTCTTGTTGCAACAATACAGCAGTTGGGAGGGTGTCCTTGCCCAAGATGCCTGATACCAACTGCACAACTTCACAATTTGGGAATGGGCCTTGATAGGCGTAAATGTTCAATGCTTACATGGTCCAATAGCTTGAGGAGTGAGCTGGTTGCCACCACACGCAACCTTATCTATGACAAGAATCATGGTGTAGATAGTACAGGAGTCGAGGCGCTTCTTAAGCCTAATTTGTGGGTACCAACCTCAGTGAGCATGATCATTAGTCGCTTTTACTGCCTTTACTTACCTTTGACAACAAAACCCGACGCGCGCTGGTCTACAAGCCAGTCGTGAAGAAAGTCCATATGGTACAAACTTCTATGCCCCCCAAATATAGAGTAATGCGATGGTTACCTGACGACCCTTTGGCCAGCATGCCTACACTGCCAACCCACTTGCCTGATTTTGTTCCAGGCGTCCACTTCACCCAAGAATGAGCAGACAAATTGGACTTAGACCCCGCTAATTGGTTGTGGCCTGACGAGTTGAAGCTTATACGCTGGCTTGTTTGGGTTCATGAATTAGCATTCGCATGGGACGCGACTGAGCGCAGCCGTCTCAATGGAACATATTTCCCGCCGTACAAAATCCCTACCATCCCCCACATTTCTTGGTCTCAACAAAATATCCCTATCCCACCCGCAAGCCTTGGAGAAGTAATCCGCATCATCAAAGAAAAGATCCAATCTGTCATATACCATATTCCCGGGTACAGATCCGATCCAGATCCGATGGACATATCCGTCATCCGCTCCACAGATCCGATCTGATTCTTATTTCATGTCCTGTTCATATAACTCTAACTATCGTTCATCTCCTTTCGGCATTCCTGTACACTGGTATACCGGTTATCCTTTACTTCCGTTATGCTTACTGATCCGCTACACTTACTGATCCGCTTTAGCTTATACTTCATTCCCGGTTATGATTCGTTATCCATCTGACTTACCGATACGCTGTGCACATACTTTGCTTATACTTCGTACATAGCCTCGCGCCTTTGCTTATTGATCATTCCGTTAGTTATCTGTAGTATATAAACCCTTGTACATGCGCTGTAGTAGATCAGTTCGAATATCATCTTAGATTGCACTCATTCTGTCTGGACTCTAAGTCCCTCCGTTATCCGTCCGGACTCGAGTACAATACTCTTGTCTACTCTGAGACTTAGGATTGATTCCTATAGTCTATATATCCGTCTCTGTCTTCGGACAGCCCTCACCCATAGTTTCTAGTTCGGATCCGATCTGGATTAGCCGTTACTCTATATGTTCAATATCCGGAAGCCTTAACAGATCTGTTACGATACTTATCCGTCTCACTAGACGCGATACTCTAGCACTCTGAAATAAGGGGCAAGACTCGGGAAAGGGACACAGCGCACGAGCTGAGGCCAAAGCCCTTCGGATCCAATACTACTTGAGTACGGTCTTAACACAATCCGGCATATATGAACCATCTACCGCAGCATACCGATTGTGCTGGTTCTGCGTTGTCAAGAAAACGGAAAATCATTGAGCCTAATACATGATCTTCAACCGCTGAACGCAAGTAAACTATCTGAGACTCATCACTCCCTCCTTTTGTTGAACAGTTAGCTGAATCCTTTGCTGGGTATGCGGTATATGGTATGATGGACTTATATTCAGGTTACGACCAGCATGCACTACATGAGGAATCACAAGACCTCACTTCCTTTGGAATGCCGTTGGGTCCGCATCGGTTGACAACACTTCTGCAAGGCCACACTAATGCGGTACAAGTATATCAAGGTGATACCGCTTTCATTCTGCAGGACAAAATTCCAGAGTTCACATCGCCATTTATTGATGATGTGCCCGTCAAGTCGGTTAAAACACGGTATCGAAGAGCCAACGGCTCATATGAAACCATAGTGCTATACCTGGGCATACGTCACATCATATGGGAGCACTGCGAGGTCATCAACCGCATACTCCAGCGACTCGAGAATGTTGGTGTAACCATATCTGCTACTAAGTTCATTCTAGCCACTCCTACCGCCGTCATAGTCGGGCACAAGTGTACCTTCGAAGGGCAAGTGCCGGAAGATTCCAAAGTGCAAAAGATCCGTGATTGGCCTGAATGTCACACCATCACGTAAGTATGGGGCTTTCTAGGTACTTGCAGAGTCTTGCACATCTTCATTTGGGACTTCTCCAAGATGATGCAACCTCTTACCAACCTTACCCACAAAGATGTACCCTTCGAATGGGGTGAAGACCAACAGGTAGCTATGCAGACTCTGAAGGACTCAATATTAGAGTCTCCCACACTCCTTCCGCTCGATTATGAGTGCGGTTGTGAAGTCATCCTTGCTGTTGACACCTCTTGCATCGCTGTAGGTTTCATCCTCCTTCAAGTCGGGGAAGATGGCAAGCACTATCCAAATCGCTTTGGATCCATATCTCTTGTGGAAGTCAAAAGTCGCTACTCTCAAGTGAAACTAGAGCTCTACAGCCTATTTCGTGCACTTCACGCAGTTCATGTTTTTATCTTTGGTGTTGCCAACCTTACGGTTGAGGTCAATGCGAAGTATATTAAAGGAATGATCAATAACCCCAACCTTCAACCTAACGTGACCATCAATTGGTGGATTGCAGGTATATTGTTATTTTCTTTCGCACTTGTTCATGTACCCGCCACTAAGCCATACTGGAGCAGACGGACTCTCAAGGAGACCACCCACTGAGGAAGATCCTGACAAGGATGATGATCATGAGGATGGCTTGACCGCTCATTCGTTTGGCATTGAGATTCTGAATGACTGTAGTTGTGCTATCGCAGGCGCAGGAGCTGATATAATGCAATACCCATATGCCGCACCCGTACCTTACCCGCTGACCCGTTTACCCGCCCTCATTTGCATACATAGACACCATAGACACCCGATTCTGCAAGCCGACCATCCCCCGCTCAGAAAACGCACAAGCACTTGATGCCAGACTAATCCAGATCCAACGCTTTTTGGAGACTCGCAAGTGACCCGCAGACCTATCGGATGAAGACTATGAGCTATTTGTTTCATCTGCTGCGCGGTACTTTATCCTCGACAAAAAGTTATGGAGACACAATTCTCAAGGAAAGCACCAGCTAGTAGTTCCTGAATTGTCACGCTTTCACATCTTGAAGGAAGCGCATGACGACCTTGGACATAAGGGAGTATATTCAATCCGCGCCCAACTTCTCTTATGCTTCTGATGGCCTATGGTGATTGACGACATCAAATGGTATAATAGGACATGTCATGAATGCCAGATCAGATAAAGTCGCAAGTTGCACATTCATCCAACAGTCCCGATCCCAGGCGGTATCTTCAGGAGAGCGCATATTGATTGTATGATGATGCCCAAAGCAGGCGGATTCGACCGACTAGTCCATGCACATTGCACGCTAACTGGATACCCAGAATGGCACATGTTACGCAAGGAGAATACCAAGACCCTTGTCGCATTCTTATTCAAGGAACTTCTTTGCAGACGGGGACCTATTATCAAAATTGTTACCAACAACGGACCTGCATTCCACGCAGCAGCTGATGAACTAGCAGCGCGCTATGGAATTCACCCGATCCACGTCTCAGCATACAACTCTCAAGCTAATGGTATTGTTGAGCAACATCACTATGATGTCCAGGAGGCCATCATCAAAAGTTGCAATGGGGATGAGGCGCACTGTTACCAGTCCACACACTCGGTGCTTTGGGCCAGAACATGTCACTGTTCATCAAGCGACAGGACTTATGCCTTATTTCATGGTTCATGGTGTCAAGTCTATCTTTCTGTTTGATCTTGCTGAAGGAACATTTCTAGTAGTGCTACCCAACCAAGACACCTTTTTCAACAATGGATCTAGTTGCATGGAGAGCCTGACAACTGCGAGAAGCGACAAGAAGACCTCAACACTATCAAGGAGAAAGTACTCAAGCACGCCATCAGTCTATCCACAACTTCGAGCAGCACTATCGTCGCTCGATCATAGACTACAATTTCACGCCTGGCACACTCGTTCTAGTCCGCAACTCTAAGGTTGAGTACAAGCTAAGTTGCAAGACGAAGCCGCACTATCTAGGACCTATGGTAGTCATCCGCCGCACCAAGGTGGGGTTGTACATCCTTGCTGAACTAGATGGTTCTGTGTCCCGACTGCGCTATGCAGCATTCCACCTACTCCCTTATCTTCCGTGCAGCGAAGCTAAAGTCTCAGTTACTAGCATCACAGGTCTAGATGATGAAACACTGGATACCTAGCAAGCGAAGACATAGAAGAGCCACCCGACCGAAGCACTCGATTTTGACTATGATGCTTGACCCGCCAGCATTCCCCAAATACTGCCAATATACCCATTCCCGACACCTGCCTATCTCTCACAAAACAAAACACAAAAACATACCGCTCTCAGTATGATAGTCTCAGTCCACCCCGTGGTTTAGTCCGGCGTCTCAGTTTCATTCTTCCACTTCTCAAAGGACTCACATATGTTACGCGCCATCCGCGCATGGACTTATATCGCAAACACAGACATTACAAAGGACTGGACTATTTTGTGTGAAAGATTGATTACCATACATTTCTCTTCGAACACGTAGGCAGCGCGCCACACACATTGACATGGACATAGGACTCAAGATTACCTGGACAGGACATGCGATCACTCAGATATTCATGCAACCAACATTACACTTCATGCGCTATCTATTCCCAGCCTACATTGTACACTAGCGCTAACAAGAGAGTCCAAACACGTGACCTATAGATCCTATCTAGCAAAGCCTCCTCCTCTTCTTGCAGTGCACCACCAAGGAATCCACCTCCGTCATCATCTCCATAAGCATTCCCTGCATGGTCAGCATCTTGGCATATAGCGCCCGCACCTTGCCTTCCAGATAGAGGTCTTCATCGTCAGCATCAGCATCCGCCAGGAGGTCAATTCTACTTCCTGACTCTCAGATGACTTCCGCTTTTTGCGACTCTCCTACCGACTCCTCCTCTTCCTCTTCTTCCTCCTCCTCCTCTTCTGACTCAGCAGAAGTCGCATCTTCAGGGGTCTCCCTGGGGCAACGGATAATGACACCCCACCCTGCAGAGGAACCCACAGCGGGAGCGGAAGGTGCCTTGACAGCAGCCTTGGCCACGACAGCACGAGCAGCAGCTCTCTCCTTTGCAACTGCGACAAGTGTTAGTAAGATGTGACTATTACTAAGTCGGGACCACTTACCTCCATGCCGTGGGTTGAATACTCACATTTCTTGTGGGCATCCTTGCAAGTCTCACAAGAATTGCCCGGCTTGCCGACGCATGGCTTAGTAGCCCTTACACACCAGGCACAAGGGTTTGGGTGCACCACAGGTGTGACAGCGCGAGGAGTCTTCTGTAGCCAGATTAGACCAAGGAAGAAGGCAAAGACAACAGTTCTGCTTACCAAAGCCTTCCTCCTACCCGCCATAGCATTGACATCGCAGCACATTTAATGACCAGTGGAGTACGAACATCCGCCTCTTCTTCATCGACTCTCCTTCCGCATCAGCATCACCATCTGCCTCATCCATGGCTGCATCTGTCTCTCCCGACTTCCCCTTGCCCTTTTCTTGCTCCATCTCCCGCTCCTTGCTCTTCTCCCTTTCCGCCTGCTTGTTGACAAGGCGCTGGACCTCTACCTTATATGCATGAACCTGGGCGGAATAGAGCTTGTGGGCCTCTTCTGCCTTGCGACCCAGGGCAACCTCATCCGACAAGAGTGGGAGATTCATGTTGTAGGTCTTGCAGTTCATGGCATTATCACTAAGTTCCTGCTATGAGGAGGGTTAGAAAGATGCGACAGAGTTAATGTCGGAAACAAAGACTTACCACTAGCTTGTTCCAATTGCGCAGCCATTCTTCCTTTCGCTGGATTAGCTCAGAACGGTCCTTGGGATAGCGTCGACCAGATGGATAACTTGAGTCGCAGATCAGTGAAGGCACACACTGGAGCTTGTCGACATTAGGGTTGATGACCTCAGAAAAAGTAAAGGAAGACATTGTAGGAAGTATGTGATGAAGGAGCGGATGAAGGAAAGGTCGGAGGGTTTTTATAAGGATATGTGATTGAGTCCACACTTCCATTGACCCTGACCCACTCTTCACAACCACTGCGTGCCCATTATTCCTTGCATTGTTGTAGTCCACCGATCGCGACCACCGCATGTTTACACTTCCACCCACTGTTCCGTGTGTGACAATATAGTTTTCCCTGGGCTGATATTCCCCCTTTTTACTTACCTTCACTTACCCACTTTCCTTAGTTTATGTTCGCATTTTACTGCTTACATAATCATGTCTCCCTTTCACCACTGTCAGTACCAGTCTGAATCACAGTCTTGTTTTGATGATAATTCTACTCTCTGAGCTCTGAGTCTAGTACAGAAATCCTTTAGGGTTGAATAGCAGCTAGGCATAGCAATTTTGACCCAACATCTGAAGAGTACTTTATAGAGTTCTCTTCTTGTTGTGTTTCCCACACCGGCTCATTGATTGTGTCCACCACTTCTATCAAATTCCCACTATCCGATCATCACTTCCAATCGGGTCGCCATCGATCATGTGCCCTTATCAATGGACAAATTTTTGCTAAGTCCAAGTTGTGACATGAGACCGACTGGGGACAGTCAGTATTTGAGTCTCCCACAGATGTGACAATCATACCAGCGCTAGCGCGTATGAGTGTCATAGGCATAATTTGCCTTGCCTAGAGGAAAAGAGTAAAGCGCTAGTCACCAGCACTATCAACTCCCAAGCTATCCACTTTGGAACCACTTTTCTCCCCTAGCGTGCTACCTGGTCCGACGCCTAGGTGTTATAGAACTGGTGTCGTAAGGCTCCGTCGCCCCAGCCACGGACCTGTGAAGCAAGACACTGGAATTCCACAACGTACTTGTTTATGCGCTGTCTGTCACGCATGTGGAGCTGTTCGAGCTGCATTTCTGCATCACCGGACGGTCATGAGGTCCAAAATTGGTTTGGAGTTCAAGCATGAACACGGAATAGTCGTTCATCCAATCCGGATGATCGTCCAAATCATCAGACAGGAGATCCGGTTCAAACCATTCAAAGCCATACCCTTAAGGTAGGATTGGGCGAAGTTGACTTTAGCCCTTCCGGTATGGAAAGCCTTAGGCTTGCTCTGGAAGTTAATCTCACACTGGACAAAGAATGCAACGAGCTTCCGTGGTTCGGATCCGTCAAAGGTATCCGGTTCGGACCTTGACTTTGGAATCTTCGGATGCGGGTGTGCAACGATTATTGCGAGCAAGGTTATCAATGGCTTCTGAGAGTTGAAGCATAACACGGTCCTGTGGGTTTAGGCCGTCGTTTTAACGTCATCATCATC